AGGCCAGGGGATAAGCCGAGCGGCTGCCCGGGAGCCCGCGATTCCTCCTCCGGAGCCGTGCTCGGGGCTGAGCGGCGCAGCCGGGACCACGAGACCGGCCTTGGACAGAGAGCGGAGGCTGAGCCAGGCCAGGGCCGTGGCCCCCTCCCGTCTGCCGCCGCCCCTGTCCACCGGGCACCTGCCCAAGCCCGCACTGCCCCTGGCTCCCCGGGGAGCCCCTCGCCGCCCTCCGGGCCCCGCTCTGGCCCTCCCATCTCCGTTTTGAGGCGCGGGGCAAGGTCGGGGCACGGCACTAAGGAGTGATGATACACCTGAGCCCTCCTTGCCCAGCCCCGCGCCCCTGCTACTATGCCCAGGTGCTTCCAGGCAGGGGCTGCCCTGGGTGAGGGGGCTCTGGCGCCGGCTGAGCGGCGGGGCAGAGCCGGCCGGAGCAGGGCTCTGCCCTATCCCATTGGCGACATCCTGTCCGAGGGGACCCGTGTAAAGGCTCCTGCTTTGTGTTCCCGGCAGAAAAGAGACCTAAAGCAGACACGTCGACTTCTTTCTCAGCCTGCGCCGAAAGCCGCGAAGCGAAAGATGACATCCACGTGGAGCTGCAGGGGTCTGAGCTCTGGAAGCGATTCCACGAGATCGGCACCGAAATGATCATCACGAAAGCGGGCAGGTAGGTGGGCGGCAGCTCCGGGCGCGACGGGTCCCGCCACGGTCCCGCACGCGGCTCGTGTCCGCCGCCCCCGCTAAGGACTGCTCTGGCCTGCGGCCTTCCTGCGCCGCAGCCCCGGCACCTTCCTGGGGCTAAGCAGGGCCCTGCCTCTGCCCCCCGCGTTCAAACCCCTCTCCTGTATTTTACCTTTGGGACATGAGGGCTTGTTTTACTAAAAAAGGCAATCGATTCAGATATTGGTCATGCGTGTACTCGATATTACCAGTACAGGCCTGGCGTGCGGGTGTGCACACTTAATATCTATCTATCTATCTATCTATCTATCTATCTATCAGCGATTCAGGTATTAGGAATATCAATATATTTATATTTGTATTTATATCTATAGCTTATTGCCCCTCCTCTCTAGTTGATAGATATTATTAATACCTGAATCAGTAACACGCGGGATGCACACAGGTACACACACATGCACACGAATGTTATCTATCTATATATCTATCACCGATTTGGGTATTAGTAATATCTATATTGATATTTTTATATATAGCTCTTAAATATATAAGCTATCGATAGATTCTATCATGGATTGAAGTATTAGTAATATCGATATTAATATTGATATCTGTAGCTCTCTCTTTCTATATATATAATCTATCGAAAGACAGACAAAAAGATAGATGTTAATATCTGGATCGATAAAACGCGGGATGTCAGCAGGTATACACACACATTTACGGAAATATTGTCTGTCTGTCTATCTATAATCGATTCAAGTATAATATCGAGAGAGAGAGAGATAGAGAGAGAGAGAGATATCGATATCTGAATCGATCAAACCGATATGGTTACACAGAAGACAGGGCAGGGTGGCCTCTTATTAGAGACTCGCTCGCTCAGTTCAAGGCAGGAGCTTTGGTCGGCGACAGCCCGGTGGTGCCTGATGCGCCGCTAAAGCCCAGGTCGGGAACAGCCGGGCTCAGGCTCTAACCTAGAATCAGGGACCCGGATCGCTCTCGAGCCCGCATTGAAATGCAGCGGGATTTTCCCTGTCGTCCCCCCACGCCCGCCGGCCCCGCGGGTCCCGTCCAGGCTCCGCTGGACTCTGCTTCGGCCCGTGGCGAGTTGCGGTCGCGGGTGGCCCCGCGCGAGGGGCTCCAGGCTTGGGCGGCCGCCCCGGCCCCGCTCCCCCCCGCGCGGGGCCGCCTGCTCCCAGCCGGGCTCTTCTTCAAATCATTG